AAAAAAACTCAAAATCTATGAAATGTATCGATCATTTGAAAAATTTGTGCATTCTTCAATTTTTGCGATTCAATTTTTTTCGATTTCGGACTTCTGTCAAAAAAAGTTTAAAATCCATGAAATTCATCGAAAAATAGGAAAAAAATAGTCCAGAAAAAATTACAAAAATACATGCTCTCTTAAAGGATTTCGCTACCGGACTACCTAAGCTCCGCCCACCCTCGAATTTCCGGCCGCAATGCGCATTGAAACCAAACCAAAGTGATATTAAAATACTGTTCTCCCATAATTCCGAAAGTATATATTTTCTCAGACATATAAACTTATAAATATTGCCAAGTATCTAGACAGGGATAGAAGTTTTTCCTATAACAAACTGGACATTCGAAACTGAATAAACAGAAGGATTCGATGTTTTGGATACTTATATAACCAATTCTTTTGGGATCCTTTGTTTTCGTGAACATCAGAAACGGAATGTAGTTCTGCTCATTTACTTCCGGATCTTTCTACTCCGTTATCAAATTCCAAACGCTCCTAGTTACGTCAAGAACACTGACAACAATAGAATCTAGTAGACTTGAGATTGTTTTCAAAAATATCAAGTATCCTCTAATCCTATCGAAATGAAAAGATTAACTTTGACTATTTTCCAACCTAAAAACTATTTCGCATCCCATTCTGATGATCTCTTCGCACCGAAATCTTTCTCACACCATGAATAGGTGTCTGACTTCTTTCAGATTCCAAAACACCGCAAATCAATCAAATCACTTTTGGTTTCGTGAGAGCCTGGAGGACAAAAATTGTGTGTGTCGAACTAGGATGTTTCCCAACTTATGGAATTTTATATTATGACAGATAGAAACTAAAAAAAATGAGAGCAAGATAAAATATTGGGATAAACTATTAATAAAACAGAACCCGGAATAGAAAACAGGAGTGGCACTGAGAAATACAATGAACTTATTTCCAACTGTCTGATGAACTCGTGTGATCTATGTGAGAAATTTTATTTATAGAGTTTCACAGAGCCGGATAGAAAAAAACTACAAAATAAATTTCAAAAAAACAGTGATTATTAGGGAAATTGAACAACGAGTGTAGTGGAACTTCCCTATCCTACTCTATAAGCCATTTAGAGTACTATATCTTATAGTTTGACCTAACTTCTTGGGGAGCCCAAATGGAAAAATTATGCCTAAGTTGAGATTCACCCAACTTTTGAAGTTTTGGGGTTGTTTCCACTAAAATTTCGTGCTTTGAACATTTTTCATCATTTTTTGAAATTTTCAGTATATGTCATTTTTTGTACATTTTTGTTTATTTTTTTTGTTCCTAAGCCTAAATTAATCAAATATTACCTTAAGAAATCGAAATTACACAGTTACAACAGCAAAAACAATGTTGTTCATGGAAAAAAACGACCAAAATTGAACTTTTTTTTGAAGTTATGAATTTGTATGGAAACAAGCACAAAATACGAAATTTTCATGTAAACAGTGGCAAAACTTAAAAAAAATCGAAAAATCTGAACTTAGGCATAATTTTTACCCATTTTTTTTCCTATTTTAAACGTAAAATAAAGATCCAGGTCAGACACTCTGAAATGATAAAAGAAAAAGAGCGATGAAGCAGAAAAAGGAAAAAAAGAAGAAGAAGAATCGGACACAGAAACGGAAAGATGAATGAATGAAATGATGATGCTGGTGGTGGTGGTGTGTGTTGAGGAGGAGCCATTGAAATTTCGCCGACGCATAACTCTAATTAGCCTGCAAGCGACTAATGAACAATCGTTTTTATGAGGAATTTCAGATTTATTTGTTTTTTTGGTTCTAAAACTAACAAAAAACAGGAATAACGTAAAACCTGTATTAGAAGGGTCCCTTTAATAGAAGGGCCCCCCCCCCTGTAATAGAAGAACCTTTTTCAACATGTGTGTTGTTTGAAATTGAACATTTCCAAACATTTTTGATGAAAAACATGCCGGAAATTTCACAATTTTATAGAAGTTTGTAGAAACACAGTATTTTCTCCAAAAACGTGCTAAAATTTTGGAAAAAGATGGTCGGAAAAAACGCCTCCCTCTAATTGAAGGGCATCTTTGATGAATGAGCCTTGAAAAAAATGGAAAGACCGGCCATTTTAATACAGGTTTTAAGGTTTATGGATAAGATATGACAGATTATTGACGGTATTGTATCGCAAAAATTCCAAAAACCGTATCTGGCCCAGTGAACACCAAAGTTAGAATATGCTCCAGCTGCAATGAGCTTCAGTTGAATTCCTGTAGCCCAACGAGCATTAAAATTCAGCCAACCAAAACAGATATATCTGTCTATGAATATCAGATGCAGATTACTCATATCAAAGGAACACTAGCTATAAGAATTAAAAATAACCTTGACTGCATATCAACCCTGGATTCCACATTAAATCCTTATTACAGTATGTCAGTTTGCTCATTCTACAGCATGAAAAAAAACACGAATAAGTTATTAAAACAGGCTGCAGATGAGCCAATAGGTTTAAGCAAACATTTCAATAAGCTGCAAAGATTTGAAAAAAAAAGACTGGAAGGATCTTTGCAACCTCACAGATTTTTTTTTACGCAATTCGCAATAAGGAACTAGTATTTAATTCTAACATAAGCCTATCGAGGTCACCACCCGGTCATTTTTGATCGAAAGAAGAATGAAAAAACCAT